ATTTTATACACTGTAGTCTATTCAATTTTCTGCCAGGGTACGAATGCTTTTCATGAAATCAACAGATTATGCAATATTTATCAAATTCTTGAACATTAGTAAGGACTAGGCTGTGGCTGTTTAGCATTGGCATGAGGACAGAGGCACTTTTAACTCAGCTGGAACATGAAACAGAGTGCAGCATGTGCATATGGGGCAAGCAAAACCTGCTTCTTATTTTCATTATGTTTACAACTTTTTCATTGTTCTTGTCCCATACAACCCATGTACAAATTACTTCAAAATACAGTGCAGACATCCCCTCTGGACTGAGGAAATTCGGGCACATGCTTGCAGTGGCTCAGGCTTGAAGCTGGGGGGGTGCTAGGCCAGTCCTCCCTTCCCTTCTATACTGCTGAGATGGTAGGGTGAGGGGAAGAGGTGTCCAGGCCCCGGTAGGATGCTCTGATTAGGGAAGGGTTCCCCCTATGTCTTGATAACAGAGCATTTAACAACTCTGTTATCAGCATTTGACACCCCGTCAGAAAACAAAGCCCCTTTCATTAGTTCAAGCTCTTCTTAAACAACATTTTGCAAGGAAGGAACATTCCAAGGAGGGATATTACCTGTTGATTAGCTTCAAAAAGCCCTTAAGACACTGTCCTGTCTGCTTTACACAGCCACTTCTCAGCATTAGCTAGCATACCACATGCTGGCTACCATCTGTGCTGTGGGAGGGAGGAGGGAGGCATCCTTGCTTGAGTTGTGAGCAGCGATGGGGGCAGGGGAGAGCAGGAGGAAGCCAGGCAAATACTCTGTGCCTGCAAGTCTCTGCTGGAGCTGCAGCCAGGGTGCAGAGGGGAGGGGCCAGCCATGCTCTGGAGAGCCCAGCCCAGAGAGCATGCTGGGATGCTGGGAGAGTCTGGTTTATCTTAAACCAGGATCTAAAGTAATACATGCCCTTTCATTATAAAATAAGCTAAAAAATAGACAAATGATGATGAGAAAAAGAAGTTATATTCTTCTAGTGTGGAAGTTGCCTGGGCAAATATTTACAAATGTGAGGATGTTGTTTGCAGCTTTTCCTTGTATTTCAGCAATGTTTACACATTCATAAGACATCCTTATAAAAAAATTGAACTGTCTGGATTTGCCAAGGATCCCTCTGTCTGCATAGCTGTTAAATACATAGTTATATACATTCACTCTGTCTGTACCAGCACTTCTATATTCCCTAATGCCCATACAAGTGGATTACTGCTAAGATGGGGCCAAGGGGGTGTTGGTTGTAGCCATGTTGGTCTAAGGACATAGGCAGACAAGGTTCTTTGGCTAAATGTGATATCTTTTATTAGACCAAATAAATAGTTACAAAAAATGTTCTTTGCAAGCTTTTGGGTACAAACACTTTTCTTCGGGCACAGGGAGAGTTTGCAGTACTGCAGTCTTGTCTACTCAAGATGGTGCTAAGACATCGCTGAATGATGTGCCAGAGAGTTTAAATAGGGCGTAAGGCCACTTGTGATGGAAACCTTTAGGTTTAAGGGTAAACCTCATTCTATAAGACCCATTCTATAAGGAAGTGTTTTGGCTTGTGTTGGAATGAAGGGCAAAAGGTCTTTGGTTGGAACAATTTTTGGCCAGCAGTCGTGACAGTTAGTGTCAGCCTTTCTATTAAAAATGGCTAAACTTAGTTTAGTGCTGGAACAGCTTGCCAGTTTTTAGGACTTTCACAGAAGAGGAAATGCATTTCTACACACATAGGAAACTTATATAAGGATATGGCATGATCCTTGCTGCTAAGCAGTAGTGGCAGGTGCACTTTGAGAGCTCTACAGGATATAAGGCTTTGATGCCTCTCTCTTAGTGGTAGAGAGAAATAGAATCTAGGACAGAGAAGTCCCTCCAGGGACACAGTTGAATAACCAAGCCTGAGGAGACAACAGAGTCTTATATTCTTTTAAAGTGTTAAAGTTACCAATAAGTGGAACCCCAGGAAAGAGGCTGTTATGGTATATGCATAATTTGTCAGGAGCAGCGTAAAAGTCCACCTGCTGTTATGCATTGTTTGGCATACGACTAATTTAACCTTCCCTTCCCCCTATTTTGGCAGTTTCAGAAAGCTTTGTTAACTAAGTGACAGGCGCGGGGGAGTTACTTTGATTTATCCTGACCTTCTATCATAAGAAATAGGAGGGTTCAGCTTCATGGGCTAGAGAGTAATTACTATATTGACTCTGAATTGGGAGAAACAAAACTTGATTTAAATTTGCAATTCTGCAGGTCCTTAACATGTAACTTGCCGTGCTTCCTTCTGATATTAAAAAAAGAAAGAAAATAGAAACAGTCATTTAAATTTGTGTAGCAGAGATGTTTCTTCCACCTTTTTACTGCATCTTAGTAAAGTTTTATGTTGCAAAGGCTTGACATGAATGTTATATAGATAGAGAAGCTCTGGCCCGCGACCCACATATTTGACCCCCCCCCCCCCCCTTTCCCAGGTTCTAAGGAATAAATACACATTTTTTAACACAGTTGCAGGGCTATTGATCCAGCACAGGGACATATCCTACTGCCTCACTGCTCTGTGGAATACTAAAATATGTAAAAACCTTGTTCGTGTTTATTTGCACTCACGGGGATGCCTGTACATAATAGGCCTTCACATCATGTTCTCTTTGCTCTCCCTTACCATGTCTTCGTCACTTGATCAGGGTTCCAGTAGTGTTTGCAATGGATGAAGAGTGGCTAGTACACTAGCGGGTTTCTTGTGGTAATACATCAGTCGTGTGTGACTTCAAGAAACCAATTTTCACTTTTTGGCTAAGTACAGACATTCAAAAAGCCTGAGGCAGCATCAATCTGTTTTGTGGTTTTCTGTAAGTGGCATAGTTTATATCAGTAGTGAACAGAACACATGCTCTCTCTTTGGTATGGTGGAGGGGGCAAATCTTAGGGTTCTGCCATATTTAAACCAGCCTGTGTGCGCCAAACTTCTGTTGTGTTACGGTTATAGACTGGTTTCCCATCACTTATACCGGTACAAGTGTAATGTCTGTACATGGCCTTCAAATTCATGCTTACAATGCTGGGATAGCTATGGGATTATACCTGGTGATAATTATTTGGTGTAAAATAATTAGTAGAATGTTATTTCTCTGTCATTATAGAACAGTGTTTTCAAACTTTGAATTACAGTAAGGAATAATAATATAGCCAAATGACTCCCGGTAGTCATAAAAGAAACTCACACAAACACACCCGAGTGTGAAATTTTTCAATAAATAATAAATTCATGAAAATGATTTATAATTTTTTTTTTTTTGCTTAAAAAAAAATTAAAATGGTGGAGGAAGGCCTATGTCCAATACAAAAGAATGAAGGAGTTCACTGCTCCCCTGGCTGAGAATCCCATGTTCAAGTCTCTCCTTTGCCTGAGGGGATTTGAACCCACATTTTAAATGGTCATCTGAGGTAGGGTAGCCTGCTGAATGTAAATGAAATAGACATTGCCAGTATTCAGAACAATTGAAGATAGCCCCTGATTCTCAGTGCAACGTGCTACACTTAAGTATTCTAAAATAATTGATAAGACTAATATCATGCCAGCAAGCATCACAGATATACAAGGTAAATTTCCACAGCTTAAAATCATCAGGCTCGAATTCATTCTGTTGTAACTCCACTACAACATCTGTTGCCTACAAAGTCTGCTCATCTCTCTCATGGAAAGCAGAATTCCATGGAGTTGCTTCAGAAATGAATATGCCTCTGCTGTACTGATGGACACTGGACCTACTCCCATTAAGTCTCGTCTCAGCATTGCTTCCCAGAGTCTCACTGAAAACAATGATCTCAAACTGTCTGTGAGGATGAACCGTAAAAGACCAGAAGCCTGCTTGCTTGTTCCTTCCAAACCTGTACTTTCCTGTGACCTGTTTCAAGAGAAATAAAGTGATGAATATTATACAACATTGCACTTACTGCTTTCTGATGTTTATGATGCTTACAATATGGCAAAACAACTGAGTGCTTGAAGGCAATGGCGGTATCTGTAGCTGTCACCTGCCTGATGTACTGTGAAGACAATCATAAGGCTATGAAAAATAGGGTTTCAGTCTAAGTATAATAGCATTTTCCTTCTCCTCCTCCTTCTTCTTCTTCAGTACAAAAGAAACTAGACAGCTATAATGGCTGGAATTTTTCAAAGGAACAAGTTGCCCAAAATCCATTGAATTTGAGTGGTCTTGGGTGCCTAATTCCCTTAGATTTTATTGGAAAGCCTGCTCCTTGCCTCTTCAGCTTTCTCTTGTTTCTTCTTGAATGGGGTTGTGTAAATAGAATATTTAATTTTTAATATTTAATTCACTGGAGACCACCAGATGTATAAAGCTAAACATCAGTTATAATTTGCATGCTATCAATAATAAACAATCAGTTTGATTCACTAGCTCAGTTGCACAGGTATTTGCGTTTCTAGAAACTTGAATGATATGTAGACACTGAGTGAATGGAAGATGCAGTGGTTTAAGTCATTAGCCTAACCTTATGCTAAGACTAAAATGTAGGTTCAATTTCCTGCTCCATCAGGCAGAAGTCAGGTGCGACTTTGGGTAAGTTTGGCCTTTCTGTGGCTTCACAGGCATACTGTGTGAAGTATGCTGAGTATATTAAAGATTCAGATGTGCTCAGAAACTAAAGTAATGGGATAGTTATCCCAGATAGATTGCTAAATGGAGGAATGTAGAATGATCAAAGATAAAATAATTTCTTTTGAATATTTGCCTTTTGCAAATGTAGTTTGTTATGATGACTGTTGCTATGGGAAAAGAGTTGTTACTGGAGTGGCATATGGTATGTGGGTTCAGCTAGCGCAGTCAGAAATATTAGACCTATAAAGACAACATCTAGAAGATGAAAGAGTTCTAAACATTAGTCTTCATCCTTTAGCTAAGTATAATGACAATGCTTATTTTTAGGTGTGTGATATTCATGACTGATATTAGCTTTTTTGTTTTCAGAATGGACTCAATGCTCTACACCTGGCTGCCAAAGAAGGTCATGTGGGACTGGTACAGGCATTACTGGAAAAAGGGTCATCAGTGAATTCTGCTACAAAGGTATCTGTGTCCACATTTATACATTTTTACAGAACAAAAAAAAGTGAAAGAAAAAAAGAGAAGTATATATTTCCCCCACTTTTCTGAAAGGCAGGAATAATACAAAGAAAAATACTTTTTGGTACATAAAGTGTTAACATTTAACCATAAACTCAGAGCTGGGGTAAATCAGTCTAGTTTCATTCACTTCAACCCAAATTTATAGATTCAATATAGAAATTACAAGTTTGAAATAACATGGTCTAGGTGTTAGAGAAGGTCAGGTCAGATGACTGTATCATTCCTTTTGGCCTGAAAATCTGTGAGTCTGTGAATTAGCTGAGGCTCGTGGGGTAATAACAGAAGAAGAAGGTTGAAAACTATGTGCACTGTGGAAACGTTAATGTTTCACTCATAGGAAAGATGTTATTGTTTCCCTCATCATAGGGGCAGGGCATATAGCTGAAAATAGTAGATGCTTTTAGAAAAGTGAATATGTATAAGTGCACCAGCTCTGCTGTATTTCAGGCCTTGTCTACTCAACGGCTTAGTGGAACTAATTTCTGCAGCAAGAACTCCTAATTTGTGTGATAATGCTAAATCATGGCATTTCCAGGAAACATCTCATCCTTCCATATCCCAGCGCACATTTGATTATCTCTGAAACTGGTAATGTACACTTCGTCTGTGACAGGAACCAGCTTTAGGGAAAGCGGCCCCCTGAGTGAACTGGTATTGTGGTGCGCCCACCCCCACTCCCAAGTCAGCAGCTGTAGGCAGAGGCAGGCAGGCAGGTTCACAGGGTGCAATGGAGTGGGGAGGTGGAGCGACATGATGCATCAGGTAGGCAGTTGGGTGGGCAGTGGCTGGAGATGAGGGCAGGCTGGGCTGAGCACTGCTTCTCCTGTCTGGGGTGGGGATTGGCTGGGACAGGGCAGGGTGGGATGGGGGGAAAGCTGTGCTATGACTGCAGGCTGCTTACCTGTGTGCGTGCATGAAGCCTCCCTGACTCCCCTGTTGGCCACATCACCTACACCTAAAGCCGGCTCTGTCTGTGACCATTTTTAATAATGGTTATTTTTCTTGAAGGACTTTTGTTTATTGCAGATGGCCCAGTTCTGTGGGCCTTGACTAGTTTCAGTGTCTGATCAAAATCTGTAATCTGCCCGTTAAATCCCAGGGAAGGCAGGAGTTGGCAGTCAGTTTCAGCAATTCATCTCTTTTCATTCTAGCAGCCTCAGAAGCTACTCTATCCTCTCCATCAAAGCTGTCCAGCTTCTTACTGGTTGAGGGCCACACCAGTGGCAGTCACAGCCCTCTTTCACTTCCCTGGCTGCAAGCTGCCCCGGCACCACCTGGGCAGGAGGCTTCCCCCAACAGCTGCACTATGTGTGTGGTCAAATGCCCACCCCCCATCACCTCTTTGGCTGTGGGCTCCCTCCCTGTACTGTGCCACAGACTCTGCTGAGCTGCCCTGCCCTGTCCCCTGCAGAGGGCAGGAAGTGAAAGCCAGAGAAGGGAGGGGGAGCCTGGAAACCCCGGCTGCAGTAGAAGCTGGTGCAATGAGGGGAGCAGCTGCAGATTAATCCCTGCCTGCCCAGCCAGGCCCACCAGTTGGACAGCCCTGCTTTACATAACCCATCTGGATGCCTTCCCTTCTGGCTACCTGGTTATAAGCTAGGTGGTAGCTCTAACTCCCTATTTCCCATTTTGGTCTTGTTGAAAAGTGAAGGGAGAAATTTCCCTTGTTGGGGAAAGGTGCAGAGCAAGAAACGGTTGCCCACAGGCCCTGCCGGGGAAGAGAGAGAAAAAAACAAAATGCTAGGGTCCTGCTTTTGCACAAAAATATATTCTGCTGCAAGAATACAGGGTTTAGTGAATGCTTGGCAGAATGCCAATGCTATTGCAAGCTCACGTTCTATCAAGTCTTGACTGAGATGAATAAATACGCTTTTACCTCCAAGAGCCGTTGTTTCAGGCTCTTTGCAGTCGTATTCACTTAATATTTCTGAGGTTATCTTTGTAACTACAAGGGTCAGAAACTTAATATAAAAATATAACTGACATTCCTGAGCCTTTTTCAGCCATAAGGGGTGCATTTTTGGTAGGTGTCATGGACTCTGTGGGGTCCTGACTATGGAGTACTTTGAATGATACCTTTGGAGAGTTGCATTATAACATGGTTATTTACTTCTTTTGGCTTCAGAGTTCTGAAAAATGGTACTGCATCTAGAATCTTGAACAAAAACAATTTAGGCCCTCAGTCCAAAATATTTCTCCCTATTCTTAGGGCATGGGTGGACAATTATTTGGGCCAGAGGGCCT